CCCCGGTTGCGTCCCTCGAATAATCATAAACTAACGGCGCCTCAAAGTATGCAATGCATGTGCACAACTATGCTCGTGGGTAAAACTCTGTGCCAGTGTATGTGTGTGTGTGTATCGGCGTGTGTGTGTGTTTGAGTTTTTGCTAGCAGCAGAAGGGCGAATTAAATTGCATTTTGTATTGATTTCAATTAAGTTCTGTTCACTTATCCGCCCGAGCGGAGAAAAGCGAGGCGGGTAAAAAGTTTTCTTCGTTTTTGTGTGTGTGTGTGTGCTCTTAGCTTTTACGTGTTACGTATACGCCCCGTTGCACACCAATTGGCCGGGGTCGCCTGATTGATTGTCTAATTGGTTTCTCGCCGGCAAGAATAGCGCACCGAAACTTGGAGGATGAGCACCTCATCCTCCAACTGATTTGCGGCCTCACTTCCCTTCGATTCCTCCTCGATTTCACCTCGATTGTGCTCCCCTTCCCATTTTGAAAATCGTAATCTATTAAAAATGTGATTTTAATGTTTTCTTAATATCCTCCACATACACACACATCGAAGTGATGTGTGTGGGCGATATGGCGATGCGATTTGGGGAGGGCCACAAAAATGTAACTCGATATTTATGTCTTTTACTTAACCACCTCCCCTTCATTTGCCTCCTTGAAAACAAATTTCTCGGAAGGAGCTCGCGTGGGTGTGCCGCTTGTTGTAATCCTTTTTGGTGGAAAAGGGGGAATTAATACTTTGCCCCGAAGCTATTTATGCTCGCGCACATGTCGACAAACATTAAAATGTCAAATTTGGCTTGTAAATACCCTGCCAGTTGTAAATTTATTTGCCCTTCATCTGCCATTCCCACTTTGGAATTTAATTAATGGATTCGCTTGCAAAAGAAGCTCCTCTTTCCCTCTTTCCTCTAATCGTAATGAAAAGTAATGCGCTCACACAAAATTAAAAGCCAATTAAGCGGTGACGAGTGAGAGGGGCCTCTTTGCCATAACTCATGGGCCATAACCACCCACCCCCTCCATTTTCCCCCTTTCAACCCGCACTTTTCCCGCGAAATGCAGCCGCTCCTGGAACGGAGCCATAAATGCCAATCATTGCAGTCCGGCCAAAGGACCTACGGCTCCTGTTTCTCCAACGGCTGGCTCCATCTCCATTCTTCGACTCGATTCGACTCGACTCGACTCAAACAGAAAAAAAAAAAAAACAGAAAGAAAAAAACAGCAAAAAGGCAAGCGGGCAAAAATAACAATTCAGCTTTTAATTTCATTGCTTTGAGCACTCTCCTGGGATTCGCATGATAAATGGCGTCGGCCAAAGCCAAGCCCCGTGGAAAAAAGGGAAGGAGAAAGGGGGAGGGGGGAGGGGAAAGGAGGGTGGTACAGTCGGGCAGCCAAGTTCATTCACACGGTTTGTGCAAATACGAATGGTGGCAGTATTTCCACTGCAAAAAAAAATGCATGGCAAAAATCAAAACCATAAATATCATATCATCATAAATTCAAACGAAATGATTAATATGATTACCAATGCTAAAAGATAATTATAATCATTAGTTCCTTTTTTAATGAATGTTTGAATTCCTATTATATCAAACTTTTATAATTTTACAAGTATTACATTTACATTTCAATATACGAAAATTTTTTTGCAAACAAAGTAGAATTATTCGTTGTGCTCCGAGGAATGCCATCGCCCCACGGTAATCCCTCAAAATATGTTTCGGCCAATTCCACGAATGGCTAACCCTAACCCCTAATCGAACTTTCAAATTCGTGGCTAACTTTTTCTACTACCAAAAAAAAAAAAAAACAGAAAGAGCAAGAAGGAAAGCAAAGCATTCGACTAAGCACTGACCCGCTTGATATTGTTTTAATGAAATTCGAATTGACTCCCACACCTCGAAGGACGCCCCATCGGAATGGCAGCCATTTTGTATTTGCCTCAACATTTTAATCTAATTTCAATGTTCTCGCCCCCAAAAAAACCAAAAACGAAAAAAAAAAATGAATAAATGGAGGGGCAACGAAGCGGAAACGTTGAAAAGTTTTTCCCCGGTGAAAGCGGAATTCACGCAGGGACGTCGGTATCGTTTCGATTCGCGTGAAAAATTTTGTGGTCAGTTGTTAGGAATGGCCATCACCTCTTTCTTTCCTTTTTTTTTTTTTTTTTATTTGATTTTTTTCATGGCACTTTCTCCCAATCCCCTGCCCAATTTCCAGTTGCCTGTCAAAGCGGTAAAGTTAACGCCAATTGCCAAACGCTCTCAATTAGCTTTGATTAAATGGAAGCAATCCTCGTCCGCGTTTCCCATTCACTTCGCCTTTATCTGCTGCTTGGGAAAAGGTATTAACATAACTCTGACAAGGGGTTCTTTGCACTTGAATCGTCCATAAATAAAGCTTAGTTTGAAGTGTCCGAAGGGAGGAGAAATGCGGACTGAATGACCGAGAAATATCAGCTACTTGCTGAAATGTTGCAAAAAAGCTGCAATGTTTTTGGTTTGGAAATTGAATTCATTTTAATTCATTTGAAAATAATTTGGATAGAGGATATTGCTGGCTGCCTGCTTAATGTTGCATTTTTTTAATGAGAAATTATGTGTCTATTATAATTATAACATATTATAATATACTTATTATTATTATTTTAATTTTTCTAAATTATGCATTTTCATTTTATTTATACAAAATTAGAGTTTGTCAAAAACCAATGAAATGTACTTTAAAAGTTTGTGCACTGTTTACCTAAAAGAAGCGTGGAGTTCAATCAACTGGAAACTTTTGAAGCGATTACAAAAAATATTGTTGTGGCTTCAGGAACGGAAATTATGGGTTTTTCGGGTGGTCACCAAAATCCGCATGTTGCCCGTGTAATTGTCGGACTCTCGGGCCAGAAAAAAAAAAAGAAAAGCATCCCGGCTAGTCGGTTTATTAGGATTTGATTTGACCCGAAATGTTTGCCTTTGACAGGGCTCCTTTTGGTCCTTGACTGTTTTAGCCTCTTCAGTTCTGGCCGCGCGTCACCTCACTTCTCGAGTGGCCTTTTCATTTGCATTTGCATTTTGCATTTTGCAGCTTGCTTTTTTGCGCCTAATTAAGATGACCAACGATGCAGGCAGGACACAGCCAGTCAGCCAGGACAGCCAGGACAGCCAGCCAGTCAGGACCTGACCTGGCAGGACCTGCAGCTCTACGGGTCCAAGCTGCATCCTTTTGAGCCAGCAGAACAGCAGAACAGAACAGCACAGCACAGTGGCTTCCCAGCCCAACCGGCTTATTATCTCATCTAATTTACGGGGCTTCCCCCTTCCGTTTCGCCGGAACAGCGGCTCCACGGCTCTATGGCTCCAGGTTCTGGCTCCTCTCGCCGGCCAACTAAATGAAATCAAGCCGTGTAATGAGCAAAAAACTTTCTAAAATGTGCCAATGCTCCCCGAGCAAGATGGAGTCCATAATTTTCTGTTAACGAAAGCACCGAAAATCCCCACGGCGCATCGCCCCTTTCCCATTTTGCCACTACACTCCGAAAAGTTAACCAAATTGTCGGTGGCTGGCTTAAAAAGTGGCCATAAAATGGAAGCGTATGCTTTCACTAAGTAACTGTCGCAGCTCGTTGCCAAAAATGTTCGGGGTATATATATTTTTTGACGATTATAATCGCATAAAGAATTTTATGACAAGCAAGAAGATTCAGACTTTTGTGACCAATGCATTTCAAATTAATTGAGTCGGTTAGTAATGGTTTTTTCTACTCAATCAATCAAGTTAACTCGACACAATTCTCGAGGGGAATTTATTAATTAGTTATTTGCAAGTGCCAAGCTCATTATTATTTTTAAGTAAACCTCTACTTTTTCTTTGACTGTATGCACTTCATTTTAATAAAAACAATTTCGCGCATTGCGCTGCTATTTGTGAAGTGGGCAAAAATATTCCGTTGGCTGCGACAGAATGGTAAAAATTTTAATTGTTGCATGCCGTTGTCGACGTCGCCGACACATCCTTTGCAGTCCTTTAGCTTTAGTTGTACAGGTCCTGTAGCTTTGCAGTCTGGCGGGATGGCTGGCTGCTGAATGCTGGGTTGACTGGATGGAGCCCGCAGGACATCTGGCTGCTGCCCTTTCGTGTGTCCTGGACGATGTTAATGTGTCCATTGTGCTGGTTAACAAAACCAATTTGCCTTAGTGGATTTTTATGTTGCGCTTCGGTTTTGCAGTTCCGGGCAACACTTTTGTCTGCGGTTTTGCCGGTTTGTTTGTTTGTTTGTTTATTTGTTTGTCCGCTTGTTTCCCTGTTTGCTTGTTCGTCCATTTGTCAGTTGGTTTGTTTGGCCGACTCCCTTGTTTCGACTGGTTATGAACTTTTTGGCTGTTTGTGTAGGTCATGATTTGCTTTTAATTGCACTTCGCTTCGGGGCTAATTTTGGACAAGAGAGCGAGAGGCGGGATTTTGTTATAGGTCTAATTTGAGTCTTGGGGCAACTAAGCCTCATTTAAAACGTGTGAATATTCCAACGAGAAAGCCGCAATGCTGCTGCTTTATTTTTCTGAAAATTAGCCACCGTAAGGGATTACAAACTGCGCTGGAATTAATTGTTGTAAATAAAATAATGCGATAAACACTCACTGCAGAATGAAGCTTTACTAAAAAAAATATTTGCTTTTTCTAAATGGCTTTTAGTAAATGCATTATACATTCGAGGTTTTCGCTTCAGCAAATATTCACGAAAATCGCCACTGGCATTTTTTCGCATTTCCCTTAATTCGCAAATGAAAAATGAACATTGAAGATTTTAATAACCAACCAGACTATTCTACATTATATACATATGTATGTAGTTAAAAAAAATTTAATAAATCTTTTTTATGGTTATTAATTGGCTTTAAAAGTTTATAAAAAAAAAAATAATAAATATAATATCACTTTCATTAATTTTATTAAAATAACAATAATTATAATAAATTGACATATTGAATTAAAACATTTTTCTTTTCAATTTCAGCTAGCATAAATTGAGTTCCTGACAAACCGACTTGGCAGTGAATATATATATGCATATAGTTAGCCAAACGAAGATGTCGACACACTGGCTAATTCTCCTGGGCATTCTGAGTTTGCTGGCAGGTGAGTTGAACTATTTTCCCAGAGTTTTGGGTCCATTAAGAGGGGAATGGTCCATCCCAGATGGCATTCTCTAAGCATTCGTTGGGACTCGGAGAAGGACACACGTTTCGTGGGGGATTTGGGATCGCGCTCTTGAGCCGCAGCCAGCAGATGCCACGCCCCCTTTTCCCTTACTCCCCTTACTCCCCTTTTCTTTTTTTATTGCTGGAAAATCTCTTTTGCATGCGCGGCACGTAAAAACAATTTCGTTTGGCTCGAACATCCGCGACTGCAGCTTCATCAGCAGCATACCGTGCAGAAATTGTTTTAAATCATCTACTCCGCCATCTATTTTATAAACTGAAATTTAAAATAACAAGCCGTAAGCGTGCTTTGATTATTGTGGGCGTGGCTGTGGGCGGAGTGGGGAATATTGGATGCGAAATAGAAATAGAAATAGAAATAAAATAAGGCCAGCCAGTGGAAGCATTTCAGTTCAGCATTTCAGCGCATCGCAAATTGCAAATTGAGCAGAAAAGCATTCAGTTGGTGCCTTCGGGGGTTTTTGGGGAGTTTTTGGGGGTTTTTCCCCCCGGTTTTCAAATCGCCTGCAGGTGAACGACTGACTGTATCCATAAGATACGAGCACAACAAAATGCTCGTTAAAATATGAGTACTTCGATTGCACTCAAATGCAGATGGATTGGATTTATAGAAAAGGATTCCTGTTCCCCTGCAAATACGAATTAAATGATATCGCTGACAAAAGCACGAAACTTTTGATTGCCACGAATATATTTGGCTTATTTCACTTAATTTCATTTCATTTTATTCCACGTTTAATGGGTTTTCGAGGTCACCAACCAGCGAAACAAAAACGAACACCTTCGCTTTTCACGGAGCCAACGGCTTTGATGAAATTAATGTTCAAGTCAACTGATGGCAATCAATAAAATGTCAACCGGGGAAAAATTGTTGGTCTGATTAAAGTCAGCTTAGCCCGTTTGCCTTCGTATTTTCTTTTTTTTTTTGTTTTGTGTGAGGGAGTTGAGTTCGTGCTTTCGTCCCTTTCGTGTCGGCTTTCTTTTTTTATTCGTGCTTTTTTGATTTCTTGGGGTGAGCCATCCGAATTTTCCCTTTCCCCGAAAAAGGATCAAAGGGCAGACAATTGTGAGGCAAATGCTGGCTGCTTTGGCTGCTTAATGACAAGCGCTAAATGAAAAGTAATCAATAATTTTGTGACAAAACTTTACGGGCACGCTTCCTAATGCAATCGAAATGGTTGCATGAGCGCCGTAAATTGAATAGCAATTAAAGAATCGTGAGGTGAGGTCGCCACGCTTAACGATTAAGCGAACTGGGTCACCGCTTTGGTGACCTCGTCGACGGTGGAATTCAATAGGGTTCAACAGGTTGATTGGGTCACCAATTATGGGCTAATAAAATAATAATGAACCCAGCTCGCTTTGGCATTGAGACTGATTTCGTGCGCTGCCAGTTGACCCACTTGAAGTTTTTCTTTACGTGTCCTTTCCTTTTCAATTTGTTTTCTTTTGTAACTTATGCAAAGCATTTTGTTTGGTAGTTCTGGGAAAATAAACTTCATAGTTAATTGATTTTTTTTCCACAGCCAATTAGCTGGAAAGAAATTTTATGATTTTTTTCAGAAAAATGTTAATTGAATTGTTAATTGAATGTTTATAAAAAGGGTGCACTTTGTATTCTTGAATGAATAATTCGATTTAAAATTGGTAAATATTATGTGAGCAATACACTTAAAGTCTTATTTGGGTTACTTTTTCTTGGTAAATCGTTTTCCACAACTTGTTGACCCTAATGCGTAGTTTCAAGCTCCAACAAATCGAGTCAAGATGCGATCTTCATGGATTGCCAGCGATTTCCCAGAGTCGCAATTACTTTGTCGAGTGTAATAAGTGCCAGAAGTCCGAATATATCTCCGCTCCCCGCCATTTAGGCCGCTCATAACCGCGGCGGGAATCTGGAAAGGACTCGAATGACATAAATCAGGGCATTCCACCGCAGTCCTATCAACTATAACATCTCATTTCTGCGCACTGGCCAACCGCAAGTTAAATAGTTTCGAGAACGGCCATTATGGGGGAAATGTGAAGGGAAATATGAAAAATGCCATCAAAACGCCGCGAAGTGGTGAACTCCCCAGCAGGATGGTTGACTCCAGCTTGACTGACTAACTGAATGAATGACTAACTGACTAACTGAGTGTCTGAATGACTTACTGACTCGCCGGAATGACTGACTGACTGACTGACTGACTTGGCTGAACTGAACTGAAAAGACGCCGGGCCATTTATAACCAGACTGCGGGTAATTCGGGCGGGTTAGATTCAGATGCCCCATAACTTCCCCCTTCACCTCTGCTCTTCTCTCCTCTGATGCGATAAGAATAATTGGAATGTCAGTTTAGATGCGCGCACGTAAAATGCGAACGCAAAGCGACACATACACATCCATTGCCGCCCATTCAACGCAGCTGTGGGCGTGGCAAGCTGCACATGTTGCAGGCCCATCACGAGCACTCAAAAAAAGATTTATACATCATAAAAAATATATTGTAAACAAAATATATAGCCCTATCGAGACCTTAATTAATTGAACAGCTTATTACATTATTATATAACATTAATATAAATTAATATAAACATTAATAGAAATAAAAAATATCGCAGTTTAGTAATTATACAAAATTTTTTTTTTTTTTATTTTTAAAACAAAAATTACAAAAATAAATTGAATTGCTAGTAGAACAAAAAAAACCTAGCTTAAGGCCCCAGTTGTTATAGCTTGATTCTATAAGTTAAGCGCTAATTTATAACTTCCGTTTAACTGTAAATAAATAAAAAAAAAAAACGTAAAAAATTCAAATAAGTCTGGTGCAATTGTGATTGTGATATTTTTGTTACAATTGTATAGATCCACTAGATATTTTTCTTCGTGCACATCTGTTGTAAAAATATGGCACAATAGTTGCAGCAGCTTCGCTGATATTGCTGTTGGTGTTGCTCCTGTTGTTGTTGCTCCTGTTGTTGTTGCTCCTGTTGTTGTTGCTTTTGCGGGTGTTGCTCTTGTAGTTGATGCTGCTGTTGCTGTTGCTTCTGCTGTTGCTGTCGTCGTCGTCGTCGCCGGCGCACTTGGCTGAACAATGACATAAGTCTAATGACAAGCAGAACGACGATGACGACGATGGCCGCCGAATGGCGAATGGTGAATGGTGAATGGTGAACGGCGAATGGCGGATGGCGGATGGCAAACGGCGACCGCAGAGCCACCGCCAGGAAAAGGAGGTCCTGCGGATCCTGGGGATCCTAGGGGGTGTTGCCAACCAGCGCTTCAGCTGCTGTGCTGTGATGACACTGACAACAATGACAACGCTGACATGACATGCCGCCCGGGACGAAGGGAAAAGGGCTCAGCAAAAAAAAGCAAAAAAAAAAAAATACAGAAAAAATAAACTGAAAAAAGAAGACAGCGAAGGAATTTCGAAGAGAGCGAAATTCCAAGTCGGTCATAAAGAAGCTCTAATACCCTAAAGTGTCCGAAGGAGCCAGCTTGCATGGCTGTGCATCGGGCATTAAATTTTCAACCAGCAAACACAACAAAGAAGTTGTTTAGCTTCTGTGAGCTGGAGCAGTAACACTCTGGCTGAAGTGGATTTAATTTCTAAGCTTTAAGTGCCTGAACTTCTATACTTCGAGCTGCAACATAATGCGTTGCTTTGGTGAAATCACAAAATGGCAACCCAAAGGCATTTCAAAACTAGAATGTACAAGTACTAATACATGTCGCTCTGCACAAATGTGGTTCTCTTCTCGGGAATTTCCTTTTTTGAAGATTTAATACGATATTCGAGTTTAAAGTCCACTGGAGGTTTCAATAATAGGTGTTTCCATCAAATAGATATAAGTAGGTTCATCTTAAAATTCAAACCATTAACAAGTTTTTCTATTAAGTAATATTTTCTTTTATCTTAACATATTTTTATTTACCTATTTATTTATTATATTTTCAATATTATTAAACTTAATTTATACAAAAGGTGTCTACATTTTTTTTTAAATCTATTAGTTCATCATAATGTCGAGGTATTCAACTTACCAAAGAAATCAAATTTTAACACAGTGAGGACAATGGTGGTTGGGCGGTGCTGTTGGTGGTGCAGTGGGTGGTGCAGTGGGTGGTGCAGTGGCTGGTGCTCAAGTGGGTGGACAGCGGGTGGGCAGTCTAAGCATAAATTTAGCTGCATGCTGCGGTCAGCAATATGCGTCCGTGATAAACGAGCTGGGATTGGGTTTTTCCTCCTGCGAGGGAGTTGCTTTTCGGTGGGAAATTCCGGGCGAAGGCGGGGCAGAAAGTGGGGAGAACTCAGCCAGCCAGCGAGCCGTGCCCATTTATCGTCCAAATTGAAATTGAAAATCAGGCAGGCGCAACGCGGTGGCAGGAGATTCAGACTCCCGGAGTCCCAGAGTTCCGGAGTTCGGGAATCGGGAATCAGGAATCGAGAAGTGGGAGTCCCAGGAGCTGCATTCGATGTCCCTGTGAAAAACTGGCGTCATGATTAGCTTGTTGCGCATGCGTTGTGGGCGTGGCAGTTGCTGTTGCCCCCAAAAGGATCGCACTTGCAACAGGAGCTCTGAAACCGTTATCCTGTTGTCCTGGCACCATTGTCCTGCTGCTGCTGACACAATGTCCTCGAGGCGGCCATAAAATGGACAGCCGGGTTTGGCTCATTTGCCACAAAGATGCAACTCGTGTGTGTTGCTGTTGTTGTTGTTGCTGCTGCCACTCCATGTTGCTGCTGGCACTAAGTTAGATGTTGCTGTTGTTGCTGCCGCAGAAGTTGCTGTTGCTGCCGCAGAAGTTGCTGTTGCAACTGTTTTCGATGTTGCTGCTACTGCTGCTGCTGTTGCTGTTGTTGAGATATATGTTCCTCGTGTTGCTGTTGCTTCCCACTTCTATATAAATCGAGGGTTTCTGCTGATTCT